TTTGAAGTTCTCCAGCTTAGTGTTCCTTAGGCTAACTGTGAGATAAACTGATTGGTACATGAGATTGGAAATAGGATATGAGAACTGTTCCCCTGTTCTCAATAGATTGTCACCCTGGATACCAATCTCTGAAGAGAGGTCAGCTTAGTTAATTTGCCTTACTTTTCCTGAGTATCCCTGTGTAGGTAGGCTTTCAGAGAAGAGCTTTTCTTTAGTTGTAATTAATTAAAATCATGAAACAACTTTAGCGTGTAAACCTTGTTATGATAAATCAGTAACCATAGTTACTTGTAACCAGAACTAGAGATGATATATACAGTTGTTATATAAAGTCTATAAACTGCAAACTCTTAATAGGTAGCTTGTTAGTGAATATACCAGAATCTTTTGTGCAGGCTTTTCAATGGAAATATACAGTGTAGTGAATTCAGTATTCAACTGTGTAACTTTTAAGGCAAATTTTAAAAGTTCTATAAGTACACAGCAAAGGGTTTGTGTATCCACCCAGAAAGATCCTACAGTACTTTAACAATATCACAGAAATTGCTGCATACTTTTACAATTGAAGATGATGGCACTGCTTTATTTCCTTAGTAATACAATTTTGAAGTTAAATTATTTAAAGAGCAACGTATATTTCTGCGTGCAGTGCTTATTAAAAGTATGGTGAGTTTCAACTGCTGTTCTTAGGATTCCAGGTATTCATAAGTTTACTATTAAGTGCATAAATTATTTCCCAGACAAGAAAATTATACAGAGAAATTACAAAGCACAAACCCACTCTTCTCTTTGTTGCATCTCGTCAGTTCAAAAACATAATTTATCTATATTTTATGTGCAAGAATATTTGTATAGACTCTTTCTTGCCTATAAATAATAATAAAAAAGACTTTTGATGCATTTTTTTTCCTGTTTAGGATATTTTTGACAGTGACTGGTACACCTCTCAAAATCTTATTGGAGGAGCTGATATCATTGTGATTAAATACTCTGTAAATGACAAATCTTCATTTCAAGAAGTAAAGGACAGTTATGTTCCAATGATAAAAAGAGCACTAAATCATTGTTCAATTCCAGTCATAATTTCTGCTGTTGGTGCAAGAAAAAGTGGTATGTATTAAATCTCATATTATGAACAGCTGAAATATTATCTTGAAGTTAGATGTTGGGTAAATCACAATGAAGTCTGATTACATCTTCAGTCCAGTCATGGTAAAAGTTTGTTTTCTTCAGAGTTTGTCACATTGACAAAAAGATGTGATGTGTTAAGGTGCTGTAGATTGACAGTGATTAATTTAGTATCAATATTATGTATTTTAAGTTTTTGAATATAGACAATGCAAATTAATAATATGCTTTGATCTCTGTCAAATAACACTCCTGCATGGCTCATCATCTGCAGGAATTGAACCAGGACCTCTGGATCTGGATTTGATGTTGGAACTAAAGGTCGGTTAGCTTGGAGGAGGGACTAAGAACTACAGTGTGTTAGGGTGCGTGACACTGGGACAGAAGGGCTAACCCCTCTGACTACAAAGTGGAGAGAGATCAGGACTGTACTCAAGATCATGTGGAGCCTCTAGACATGAGTTTTGATTAAACACGTAACTGTAGTGTGCGCTATATTCCAGAGCAGTGGTTTCCAACCTGGGCTGCATATGCAGCTCTCTGTTATGTGGGCCGCATCCACACAATATATATAATACCCGTACGTCTCTCTCTCTTTTTCTTTCTTTCTTTAAATTATGACAGCAATACGATGCAGAGACAAGGTACCCTGTCCAGGGCAGAATGCCCCTCTCCTCCCCAGGGACGGCCCCCTCCAGCATCCAGTCCCCCACTCAGGGACTGTCCCTGCATAAACCCAGCCCTTCACTTAGGGACTGCCCTCCAGAACCTCCCCCATCCAGGGACTGTGCCCCAATATCTAGCCCCACATCCAGGGACTGCCACCTGTCCCCCAACGGAGAGTCTATCCCCCATGCACTCGCCGCACCCCCCTCCCTGCATCCCTAGCGCCTTGCACCCCCTTACAGCCCCCTCGTCCCCCGTACCCGCTGGTCTCCTACCTCGTCAGGTAGCTCAGCTGTGCGGCCTGTGGGATAAGGGGGGTGCCCGATGGTGTGCTGCCCCATTTTTGCACCCTCCCGCCCTGCCCTAGTTATGGCCCTGAGGATGTCACAGCTGTGTGCTGATTGGGCCGCAGGTTGAGGATCACTGTTCCAAAGTTCCTATGTAGCAATACAAAAAGAATAAAAACTAGTATAGTGTTTAAAAAGGAAAAAAAGACACATCAGGTACCAGAATAATTTTGGTAAAATAATTTAACATTTCATATATACATAATACAGAATATTTCACTGTGATTAAAAATTGCAATCATGGTGTGTGAACGTCTCAAAATTCTCAAACGAAGCAGAATTAAATGTGGTCTGTACTTGGCTGGGAGACCTTCAGTGATCACACGTTACTGTGTTTGTAATGTGTGGTACTGTGTTTTGTCCTGCCTACACTAGGGAAATTTATATATATATATATATATTTTTTTTTAATTTGCTTGATGGTTGATAGTTTGGTGTTTTTCATTCTTTATTCTATACTTCTTCCAAGCATTGTGGTATTGCTGATTTTTTTTTTATACACTTTAAAATTCAGACCCATGACTTATTAAAGAAATCTGCATCTGTTTTACTTAGGGAAGCATTTTAAATTTGACATGGTATGAACTAAAAATAAGGGATATAATTTGTGAAGTGGGTACTCTCCGAGACAGATAGCATAAGCAGATTTCTATCCCATGTCAATACTGTATAAACAATCAAACAAAAATAACTTTATTTTATAATATGCAAACAAATTTTGTGTACATAAAAATATAACTACTTTGGAGATATTACATTCAGTTTTGCCAAAGCCTACTTGGGTATCTCTATTCAGTGAACCAAAAAGAGCTGCTATTCTGTATATGTTAAATCTTATGAACAATTTTTTCTTTTGTAATTCATTGACATGGCAAAACATGCCAGCTTGAGTAATATAGGTGGATGATAAATCTTCCAGTTGTCCGATTATAATAAAGTGAGGGTTAATTTAACTAACTACATGTTTGGCTAAGCCAATTCTTTTACTTATACATTTACTTTTTCCTATAAATTTGTTTAATAACATATGCATCACCACTTCAAATGATTCTGAACCTTTGTAGCTTTTTTTTTTTTGGTAGTGAAAATAAGCTTTGGAAATAACTTTATTGGGAGAGTAGGCAATATTTTGCCAAGTTTAGGCTTGGATCCTGTATTGTGATCTGTTTGAGCAGACGGCTGTGCCACACAGAGCCTCTCTGATGTCAGTAGGCCCTACTCATAGAGCCCTATTGACTTCAGAGGGGCTCTGTGTGAGCACAGCTGTCTGCTCAAACAGATCACAATACAGAACTGGGACTCAAATAGGTATGGTGGAAAAAAAATTTGTTGGCATAATTTGCTGCTTGCTGAGGTGGGTGGACCGTGTTTGGGTTGAGAGATGTATACATTATGAAAGAACGCATTTATAGGTGGACAAAAGTTTTTTCCATTGTCAGTTAAAGCAAAGCCACCTTGACTAATGCCAAAATTGTTGTTCCTTCCTCAATTAACCAGTGGTTCCAGGGAAATGCAAGGTTCTAGGCACAGATTGTATATAAAGTACAAGGTTCTGAACAGACAGTCACACAGGACAAAATCATGACTCACTATATACACTTGCACTGGGGAGTAAAGGGGTCATAAAGGTAATGCTTCCCCTTACTCCTTTGCACGTTTCCTGCATCACGGGTCACATTGCAGGGGACAGAACAGCCACCATGGGGCTGCTGCTTCTCTCTCACGTATTGCTGGAATCATGTAATTACTTCCATAGCACGTGGGGGCTGAATTAGATTTGCACACGCATCCTTAATGCTGGTGGTTCCTAACTTTTCAGTGCTTGCTTTAGCAACCTTCACATTCTTTTAGTGTGATACAATTTTTTTATGTTAAATTCAGTCTTTATCAGATCGTTAATATTCTGACTTGCAAAAAAATGTTTCTTACTGTACCAGTATTAGAGAGACAAGGTGGGTTAGAGAATATCTTTTGTTGGTGACTTAGAAAAGCTAATGAAAGCTTCTCTCTCTTACCAACAGAAGTTGGTCCAATAAAAGATATTCCCTCACCCACCTTGTTTCTCTTATATCCTGGGACCGACACGGCTACAACAACACTGCATGTACCAGTATTAACTCTTTGATTTGTTGCTTATTATATACTTACTGTAAGAAAAATGTTAATAAATTGGAGAGAGTCGAGAGGAGCAACAAAAATTATAAAAAATTTAGAAAACAGGCTATGAGGAAAGGTTGAAAGAACTGGGTGTGTTTAGTTTGGAGAAGAGAAGGTTGACGGGGGTCATGATAAACAGTCTTCACATGTGTAAGATTGTTACAGAGAGGATGGTGATGGATTGTTTTCCATGCCTGCCAAGAATAGTAATCAGCTTAGTTTGCAGTAAGGGGGATTTAGGTTTCATGTTAGGAAAACTTTCTAACTACAAGAATAGTTAAGCATTGGAACAGGGTTATATAGGGAGGTTGTGGAATCCCTGTCATTGGTGGTTTTTAAGACCAGGTTAGATAAACACCTTTCAGGTATGCTTACTCCTGCCTCGGCAAGGGGGATGGACTAGATGATCTCTTGAGGTCCTTTCCAGCCCTACATTATATGATTCTACGATATAATGTATCTCTTTACTAGTATTTACAAGGCAGTGTGTAGTGGACTATTTAATTAAAATGTCTTCTATAAATCTTTTGTTTTCTCAGAAGTACCTTGTACTTGTCCACTGTGCACTTTAGACAGAGGGAGCTGTGTTACTGCTTCTGAAGGGATTCAACTCGCTAAAGAACTAGGAGCTACTTACCTTGAATTGCACAGTCTCAGTGATTTCTATATAGGAAAATATTTTGGAGGAGTGGTAAGTGAGAAACTGTACTAAGCAGAGCATAGATAAAATCTTTGATATCTTTCTAAAGCCAAATGTTGGCTTTACTTTAAAACAGTGTGTACTATGTAAATGAGAATTGGATAACTGGAATAGTGACTCTGGGGCCTTATCTACACTAAACTTTTTTTTTCTCTAAAATTTTCCACTGGTGGTGCATCTTCCCCAGTTGTAGCAATATTGGGAGTACTAGAACTTCCTCTATTGCAATCAACTTCAGGAAGTTTATATGACAAACTCAAGGAACAGATCTTTTTCCTAGTTATATAATCTGCTGTCCTGTCACTTTAATGATGTGCTCCAAATTACTCAAGATGCTTAAGTGGGATATTTGGTGTTAATTGCTTACAGTTGTGTTCTACTTGTAAATGAGCATGTTATTGTGTTTGAATTTTAATATATGCCTGAAGTTACTTTTGTTTTCAGTCATTAAACAGTTTCCAGTCTCAAGCCGTCTGTCCAGTCAGTTGAAATAAAGTTGAGCTCATTTATTTTGCCTGAAAATGCAAAAACAAGGGGAAGGAGAGTGATTGAAAAAAGTAAACCATGAACATTTTCATTACAAGTTACACTTACACTTGTTGAGGGAAGGACTTTGGCCAGGTCTGTGCTACAAAGTTTTGTCAGCATTGCTATGTCTGTCAGGGTTGTAAAAAAAACACATAGCTATGTGGGCAAAAATCCCAGTGTAGATGTAGCTGTGCTGACAGAAGAGTGCTTCTGGGAGCACAGCTAATTAGAGAGACAAGATGGGTGAGGTAATGTGTTTTATTGGACTGCTTGTGAGAGAGACAAGCTTTCAAGCTTACACACAGCTCTTCTTCAAGTCTAGGAAATGTACAGAGTGTCACAGCTAAATACAAAGTGGAAAAGATTGATTAGAATAAATAGTCAACACATATTTGAAGGGAACATTCAAGGTGAAGTGGACTGTTAACACCTCTCCAGTCATAGGGAAAAAATGGGTGGGTGTGGGGGAAAGGTTGGTGTTAACACCTTCAAAAGACAAACCTGGGAGCTTAAATTCATAACTTTGCTAGATACTAAAGATCATGGACTGGATAGAGACAATGAATTTATGGCTTGTTACAACAATCTGTAACCCACTTAAACCCTCCACCCAGCTTTCCCCCGCCTCTCCCCCTTTCCTCCCTGTGACTGGAGAGTTAACTGGGCACTTCATTTTGAATGGTCCCTTGAAATGTGTGTTAACTACTTTTGCTAAACAATCTGTTTTACCTTGTACACTCTGTACATTTCCCAGACCTCAATGTTCACTTGAAAGGTTGTCTCTTTCTCCAACAGAAGCTGGTCCAATAAAAGATCTTACCTCACTCACCTTGTCTCTTTAATATTCAGCAGGGACCAACCCGGCTACAACAGCACTGCTAATGTCATTCAGGAAGGTGGTGTTACTATGCTGGCAGAACTCCTACTGTCATCGTGCTATGAGGCTGTGCTGTTATAGCTGTACTGGCAAAGCATTTGTAATGTGGCAAAATATGTTGTCTTTGTGTTTTATATCAGGATAGGTAAAGTGGTACTCTGACTGTGGATGAGTTACACTGGTATTAAAGGTGCCTAAAAACTGTTTTCACAGTTGGAGTTGTACCAGTATAACTATTTAGGTTTTAAAAAAAAAAAAAAGCTCTTCTTTGAGTGATGTCCCTATGGGTGCTCCACTGTAGGTGTGTCAGTGTCCCCTGTGTCTGGGATTGGAGATTTTACATTAGCAATGCCAGTTGGATCACACATGCGCACCTCCCCATCTCACGCCGTGAGCGGTATGTGTACATACAGCCCTGTGTAGACCAACTGCCTCCCAGTTCCTTCTTAACTGCCTTTGGTCTGGGATGGAATCCGCAGCAGAGCCCTCCTATCCTTTGAGTTGCTAGATAATGCCTTACCTGTTAGTTTTAGTGTAGTTAATTCTTTCCTTTATCATCCTCTCCCTTCATTTTTTTTTTTCTTTCTTCTTACCCTCTCTGTTAGTTCATAGCTTAACACTTTGTTTTCCTGCTTCCTGCCCTTCCTGATTGGGAAGCTTTCTCTCTTGTCCTTATGCTCAGATCTCCTGAGTTTAAAAGGTGCGTTTCCCGTCAGGAGGCCTTCCTGGTAAGAGACGGTCACCCACAGTGCATCCACTGCCTGGGAGAAGGACACCTGACTGCTAGGGCAGAAAAGATCAGGACATTCGGCTATGTCTTCTCCTCATGGAGAGATCATTGAGTACAGCATTGTACCCTGGTCCAGATGCTTCCTCCGTACAGTTCTCACGCTAGCTCGTCCACTGATCCTCATTCGCCAAGTCCTTCTAAGAGCAAATCTTTTCCCTGCGCTGATGGGAAGAAACAAGCCTTCTCATTGCCTACTGCCCGCCAGAACACCATTCCCTGCAACATCAGTTTCGGGTATGAGAAGTAGCTTTAGGGACTGTCAGAGTACTTCTGGTATCGGAGCTAAACATATGTCTAAAGACCCTAAAACGGGCAGACCTGCAGGATCAGCATAATGTCTCGGCACCAGAGACTGCAATGCGAGACCTTCAAAAATGGTGCTGACCGCCCCGACCAGATCAACTTTGTGTGCCATGGCACTGACGAAACCACTGGCACTGGCAGCTCTGTTGCCACTGACATTGCTTTCGGCACCAACAAAACATGCAACACTAGCCAAGCTCTCGGCATCGGTTCACCCTCTGGCACTGAGCAAACCCTTGGCACTGAGCAAGTCCTTGACTCCATCTGCTGGCTGCTCAAGAGAATGCGCCTCTTCCTCAGCATTGATGCATCTGCTGATGGGGCTTCTCTCTCCTCTCCAGGAGGTCAGATACCTAAGGACCTGCTTGTATATGACCTGCTTGAATCACAAGTACTCAGACATGAGCTCCCTCCATCTCTGTTCTCTTCTCTGGAGTCACAGCACTGCTCCGTTTCTCCTCCAAGGATGGCACTACCCTTCCCCAGCGAGGAAGATGAGGAAGAAAAGGAAGACTATGCCTTTCCCTCCCCCCCCCCCCCCCCCCCTTACATTTGGGACAGGCACAAAGCACATCATCTACATATCCTCACTAGCCACGGCCCCCAACCACCCCAGGACAACCCCACGTGCCATTCCCGCCACATTAGCTATACTGGAATCTGTGGGTCATATACAGATTGCAGTTTGGGAAGCCTCCCATAGAACAAAGCCAGAGGCCTACAAATTCACCATCTCTATCCATCTCTTGATCACCAGAGACCGTAGCAGATGAGGAAGAAGAACTGGAAGAGGAGGTTACACTGCCACTCTATTTCTCCTCTTCTTCCCCCGATGAGGCTATCATGTCTCCACCCCCTACGTCAGCCAACGACTTTAAACACTTCCAGGAGCTGTTTCACAGGATAGCAGACTCCCTCCAGATTATTTTGGAGGAAGTGAAAGAAGAACAGCATAAATTGCACAACATTCTGCACACATCCTCATCCTCCAAAATAGCCCCCCCTGTCAATGAGTCCCTTCTTGACCTGGCCTACGTGCTCTGGCAGATCCCAGCGACCATATGCAAGTGGGTCACCAAAAAAATTACCCACTCCAAATTCCTTAGTTGTCAAGGCCGTGCACAAAAAGGGATGCCAATACCACCCTAGATCCACTCCTTATGACAGGGATTGGAAGCGATTAGATCTATTTGGCTGCAAGGCTTATTCATCTGCTACGCTCCAATTCTGCATTTCCAACTGTGAGGCCAAATATAATTGTCAATTATTCCAAAATACGGGAACTCTGCCACAAGCTTCCTGATGACATGAAGGAGCAGCTCTAGGCGCTTATACTTGAAGGATACCTCTTAGCCCATATAGCTTTACAGTCCTCCTTGGATTCTGCAGATACTGCTGCCTGTTCCATTGTGACTGCTGTAGTCATGAGTCAGATCTCATAGCTGCACCTCTCTGGGCTCCTCAATGAGGTACAAACCATCATTGAGGACCTGTCCTTTGAGGGCCCCAAATTATTTGCAGAGTGCACGGATGAGTACCTACACTCCCTGAAGGATGTTCGAGTACTCTCTGCTCTCTTTGCATCTATATGCCAGTGCTGAAGAGATGACTGGGGAAATAGTAATACCCCTGCGATCCTGACCGCCGTTTGCTCCTCACTTACTGTACAACACACAACACTGTTAACAGAAGCTCCCTCCCTCCCCCAAGTGCAGACGTACGACTCCTCACAGGGCTACCTCTCTCACACCTTTGGCCAAACAACAATTTTTGAAGGTGTGGTCGAGGCCCCAAGAAACCTTCCCCCTGTTCCAGTCACAACAGCCATCTCCAACATCCCACCAGTTTGATGACCATTTGGCCCCTTTCTTTCCATCAGGGCGGCTAATTATTTCATGTAAGTGGGTTCTAGAGGAGTGGCTCTCAACTAGGGGTATGCGTACCGTTGGGGGTATGCAGAGGTCTTCCAGGAGGGTTCATCAACTAATCTAATCTAGATATTTGCCTGGTTTTACGACAGGCTACATAAAAAGCATTAGCGAAGTCAGTAAAAACTAAAATTTCATACAGACAATGACTTGTTTATACTGCTCTACATACTACACACTGCCACAACCTGACTGCCAGGGCCAGAAAAGATCAGAACATTCGGCTGCGACTTCCAATTGATTTATTTTATAATTATATAGTAAAAATGAGAAAGTAAGCAAATTTCCAGTAATAGTGTACTGTGACACTTTTTTGTATTTTTATATCTGATTTTTTTAAGCAAGTAGTTTTTAAGTGAGGTGAAACTTGGGATACGCAAGACAAATCTGACTCCTAAAAGGGGTACAGTAGCCTGGAAAGGTTAAGAGCCACTGTTCTAGAGATCATTAAGGAAGGATACTCCATCCCATTCCTATCTATCCTACTCACCCTCCCTCCCAGTCTCTTTAGGGACCCTTCTCACAAACACATTCTATGGGAAGAAATAAACCACCTTCCGCAACT